AAGACCACAACGGTTCAATCTCAAGTGACCAGATAAGAATTTCTGTTACATCTATATATATCAAAAATTTAAGTGTATAAAATATTGCATGTGGCTTTATTAAAACCCACCCACAATGACGCGACGTTTCACTTAAGAATGGAAGAATCTTTTTATTTACAATCACCGAGGAGTCCTAAGGATCGAATGCTTGCTATTATGTGAACTTTGACCTCAATGCACTGTCTAATCGATCCCGAAATACCACAGGGGCATCGTGTTTTAAAATGATTACCGTGCTAAAGACTTTGTACTTTGGTTCTTTATTAATGATTTCTAAAATTATATTTAATTATTGCCCTTGTTATAGGGAATACACACTTTTGTAAATGTAAATAGGATCAGATGTTTACCTCGTGCAATGTAGACACAGTTTTGAGAATTAAAACTGAAGAGCTTTTGAAATAGTATCTTGTAATTAAAATGGTTTGTTTGGGATACATGTATTTTATTTTCATAAATCTATACTTTATAAACAACAATTTAACATGTTATATAAACAATCAGTAATGTAAAGTCTGCATGTACAGCTCCCATTAGAATGTCTTGCACTTTGAAGACACTTTCCTCTAGAGTTATTAATAGAGTCAATGATGTTGAATCATTCGCCGTTTCATTATTTTTCATATATATAGTTTCCATCGTGTTTGTTTGATTAATGCTGGGGTTTGGTTGATCAAAATGAATAAAATGAATTCATATAATATAATATAATATAATGCGAGCTAAAAGTCGTGTTTGAATTTAGTTGACGATGATTATACTAATTTTATTTTTTTTTATCTTAAAACAATCTACCCGATTTTAGCTCAAATGTTAGAATGTTATTTGTTATTCAGAATGAGCATTTGTTCGTCTTGGATGAGAAATATATTTTAAACGGATAGACTCGGTTGACTTTAATATGTATTATGCCATTCATCTTCAACCGCTAGTTCGAATGGTTTGTGTTAAATAGTTGACAGTTACTTGTGGGAAAATATGATTTGTACAGATACAGAAACAATGAACACTCGTTAAGTTATTGTTTGTCAGTACATGACTATAATATCGTTAACTCAACATCGTTGTTGTCATCATCATCATGTGTAAACAAAATGTTATTTATCAAATATGTATGCAGACTGCAAACTCCTGTGGTAACTGAATATTAAGTTAGTTCTACTTTATATTGAAATTGTATCAAGTTTACGTGGGCTGACTACCCCGCTGTAGATCAAATTTTTCAATCTTATCTTAGTATAGCTCAAACATTTACGGTCTCTATATCATGTTTGATGATGATTGCAAATAATCACGTTGTTACGTAAGCGTCAAACTGTAGGCGTTGGTTTTATTGGTCGCTCATCAACTTAATGTTTATTACACAAAAAAGTAATGTAAATAAAACTGATTCAATAAACGTCGCTTAATATCAGCCTTTATTTTGGATGTTGGTGTAAAACAGTTTATTAAACTATGTGATAGGGATATTTTTTCATGTTTGTGTGATAAATTTGACAACATGGTTTGGAAATGAAAATAAGTATTACTTTAAAGCCACTTTAACATACTGTTACAATTTTGACCACCCTTTGGATTGGTCTGCAGTGGGCACATTCTTCATAAATATTTCAGATATTTATAAAAACAAAAGAAATGTATCATTTTGGTATTGATATAGAAAATGTTTGATTTTGTATGAACATTTACATCATGAATAATTATATTTTATTCTAGAACAATTTATTGCTCCGCACCCACAGGCTTGGAGCTATTTGTGTTTACTTTTTTTGTCCATGTACCCGATTTTTATCAATTAATCCCTTCGATTTACAGCTAAAAATAAATTCGGAAGCACGATTTCCTTTCGACTTTTATTATGTAAAGTCATATATTGGTCTCCCCTTTTGGTGATTCGCAGCATGTCATATTAATGAACAAAGCTATAAATAGATATGACCTTAACATTGAGAAAGCCCAAAAATCTATTTATTGAGGTAGTTTAATTAACCGCTATGGTAATTGATAACGAATTGCAGAATGAAATGCAAACATATTCAACCATAAATTGCACCCTTTATAACTTATCGAAAAAAATTAAAGTAAATTTAATAGCTCCTTTGATTATTTAAATCGACCCTGTTGTCCCGAATTGTTGCTTTTAGAAATTGATTCCATTTTGTTTGAAGGCAATCGGTTTTATGGTGGTTTGATTTGCCGAATACTTCGGCATTTAAACAACAGAAACTTTCGTCGAGGTGTTATGGGTTTATTGATAGGAATGTAAACACACTGGTGGGTCAGACGAGGATTTTGAAGTAATTCAACAAAATAGTAGATTCATCTCCTAATAAATCAATTAACAATAGCTCTTTATTTATAACCTATGTCAACTTGCTGTTATATCTTTGACTCGCATGAACATGATGTTAGTGAATTTCCCCATACCCTATGATACCTGTCTAAAATACCGGAAACAGTCTTCCATTGATAAATAATGTTTCAATATATCAACATGCCATGAAAATTTATTCATGATTTTAAATGTACCATTATTTTTGTTAACGCGTATAACAAAAAAATCCTGAATTTGGTCTTTTAGAAATTAATCTCAAATTTTTCATTCCAGTGTGTGTCCTACTTTCAGTATTTATCTGAGACTTAAAATATAGCTTCAGTATCTTAAGTCAATTCTTAATTTGATAGAAAAAAATGCCTGTTATATTACAATATTATAGTCTCTTTTTATATGCTGTTTGTATATTTTTTACAATTATAATAAAAAACAGACTTTTTTCAATTTGACTACTGTTTTGTATGTTCCAAAAAAAATACATTTAATATTTTTTATTTTTAGCAAGTCGACCAAAGTTAATGATGAACAATGTCTTTCGTCCGGCCATTCATCTATGATATACATGTACAATTCTGGTAAAATCCAATTAACCATTGAAAAGTTCAAAAAAAATATCTGGTCAGCAGATGTCTACTAGCTCATCGTCATTTGCTGCATTTCTTGCTTGGACGCCATTTGAGGCTTTGCATCAATGCCTTTCTTGTTTAACATGCATGATATACCATTTGACGCGAATCATGTAACGGACATTTTGAAAAATAAAGTCGATTTGGCTTATTTTCATGTGGATTTTAATATTTCTTACAATGATTAGTTGTTGATTTTTGTAGAAAGTGAGTAGCATTATAGGTGGAAAAGAAAATGTGCATGCTTTGATATTTTTATCATCTAATATTACCACTGATTACTGACTACAGTAGTGACACAAACATTTGTACTTGTTTTCTACTTTATGTGGATACATGATATCTGATCTTATATCTCGCACTTATAAACAACATCCGTAGATAATTCTTTAGTGTTTGGCTGCCATGTATGATACTAAATACTATGAACATACTTATTTATTGTGTTTCCATTATGACTTTCCATTATGGGCCCATTTACTAATAATTATTATCGTAAAATGCTTCTTGAGTCGCAAATATTGCTTCTAGTTCACATAGAATAAAGCAAAATTCACGTGTAAAGCAAATGCTGTCTGTTGTATATATAGAGTTAATATTGTCTTTATATACACGTGAAGTAAAGCATAATAAATTATGTTGTACATATAGAATAAAGCCGTTATTGTTTCAGGTACATATAGAATAAAGCCGTTATTGTTTCAGGTACATATAGAATGAAACATGATATGGTACATACAGGTTAAACCAAATATTGTCTAATATACAGAGTAAAGCAATATTGGCTGTGGTAATATATAGAGAATATCGTTTGTTTATATGTATGATGAAGTTTTGTTTTATCGAGTGAGCTCCAAAAATAGAACTCTCACACATGGCGTAGCCAAAGTTTTTGAAGTTCTGGAAATGAAATGAATTACGTCTTACACAAAAAAAACTTTTTTTGCTTAGATAAAATTTCTTCATGAGTCAATATTAACTTCAAATTCAGACGCCTTTCTCATAAGTAAATGATGACTATAGGTCAACACATAAGTTCAACAAGAGCTGTCGGAGGACAGCGACGCTCGACAATTCAAAAAAGTTGTCACAAGGGTGTTTCATTGGGTATAATAATGCTTACCTATATGAATACATAAAATTGTCCCAGGCTTGTTATTAAGATGTTTTATCGAGTAAATCACTGCTTCATTATTATGAATGCATAAACATGTCACACAAAGGGCACAGAGTTTCAATCCATTCCCTTAAGTAGTTATGGAGGTACCAGCTTACACGTAAAAAGTTAACAAAGTATTTCTAAGTTGAGAAGGGGCATAATTATGCAAAAAGGAAATCAAAGTTTTAGGACTAATGTCCATCGTGTAAGATAATCACAAGGAACACGTGTGTGAAGTTTCAATCGATTCCATTCAGTAGTTATGGAGATACCAGCTTACGTAAAAATCTAACCACAGGGACGCCGACGACAACAAATGCTTATACATATACAAATAACTGTTTTTATTATATACTTATAAATGAAATATTGAGAAATATTGATAGAATAAAATGCGTATTTTCATTTTCCGTATTTTCACTGTAAAAATTTATTTTTCACTGCAGTGAAACATATTTTCCATATTTTCACTGGTGTCTTGCCGGACTACTTTCTTTTAAATTCTGCCAGTACACAAAATTTAAGGGAAAGTCTTTCAAATTTTAATGTCAAAAAAGAGAAAAATGTATATAATAAACAGAAAATTCAAGTTTTTTCTATAAATACATGATTTATTTTCATCATGTGGCATGAAAATTACCATATTTCACTCGTGGCTACCGCCACTCATGAAATATTTATTTCCATACCACTCGATGAAAATAAATCATGTATTTATAGAAAAAACATGAATATCCTCTATAAATAAGGCCACATAACTAGAGAAAAAAAACCAATGTACTTAACAGTATATCATATTTTATCTCATGTCATTAAGAAAAACAAGAAACGCTTCAAGCAGGAAATTTATTTACTTCACTTGAATTATCATAAAAGACAGATATTTTGACGATTACGGTTTATCAAACACGTTATCTTTGAACTGGCCAATGTAGTTACCGGCGGGGTCATAGTTGATGACAACAACTGGTCCGGCTACTCCTACACCGATCTTTTTAGAACCTTTCCAGACAATCTGTGTAAAATGACCTACAAATCAAAACAAATATAACAATTTCTGTCGATTTCGAAACTATAAAAGACACATTTGAAACAAGCAATTATTTATTAAATTTATCACCTAGATATGATATTGCCTCTGGGCATAAACGCATTTTAAATATTATTTTTACATCGATCTAGTATTGTTGAATATAATACATAATTTATGAATGTAAAATTAAATTTTAATGTAAATATACCAAATATTGTTGTGAAACATTATTCCTAGTAAAATTATTTAGCACTACAATAGTCTTCTATATACCGATATGACATTTTGAACATCCTCCTGCCATAATACATATCAAAACTATCACATCTTATCTTATGCATGGCGGAAACTAGTATAATCCGATAAAACTTAGGATTTTACCAAATGATTTAAAAACAAATGGCGAGGGAAAAAATGACTCACGGTGCATATCCATATCGGTACCCTCTTTGCAAAATCTGCTGAAACGGTACCCTCTTTGCACATGCACGGGCCACTCTCTGCTAAAAACAAACCTGCGATTGATAACCATACGGTAAAATTTCAATATAAAAAGGAAAGAAGGTATGACACGTAGAAAAGATGTATACCACGGAACACTAGAATGTTTTATCTATGTGCTGATTTGTCATGTGCCCGTTTTTCATGTACTACAAATTCACAATAAGCTACAAAAAATCGACATGTCTTGCTTCGCCCATCACCTCGACATATTTTCGGGGGTGAAATGAACCTGTGGCTTGATTATATATGCATCATACATATTCAATATGTTCATTTACATATCATCTTCGGACAAAATGGCAGTACATTGTCAAAAATAAATGTAAAATTCATAAAACACCCTACTTTCGGTTTTGCAGCGGCACGGGCTACCTCTCTTCATTTGAACTTTTATATCACAGGTACCCTCTTTACACACACACATAGGTAGCCTCAAGGCACGACATACGCTTGTATTTGCGTTAATCGTTAGGTATGTAATATTTCTTACTTTTATGTAAATATTTCATACTTAACGATTAACGCTAATAAAAAGAATATGTCGTGCATTGAGTGTACCTATGTGTGTTTAAAAATGAGAGGGTACCTGTGATATAAAAATTCAAATGAAGAGAGGTAGCCCGTGCCGCAGCAAAAACCGAAAGTAGGATGTTTTTTTATGAATTTACATTTATTTTTGACAATGTACTCCATTTGTCCAAAGATGATATGTAAATGAACATAGTAAATATGTATTGATGCATATATAATCAGGCCACAGGTTCATTTCAGCCCGAAAAGTATGTCGAGGTGGAGGGCGAGGTAAGACATGTCGATTTTTTTGTAGCTTATTGTGAAGTTTTGCAGTACATGAAAAACGGGCACATGACAAATCAGCACATAGATAAAACATTCTAGTGTTCCGTGGTATACATCTTTTCCACGTGTCATACCTCCTTTCCTTATTACAATGAATTTTTACTGGCTTGTTATCTATCGCTGGTTTGTTTTGAGCAGAGAGTGGCCTGTGCATGTACAAAGAGGGTACCGTTTCAGCAGATTTCGCAAAGAGGGTACCGATATGGATATGCACCGTGTGACTGATATACCGCTCTTTTTCCTTTGAAAAAGCAAAGCTCTAAACTGTTTAGTATATTTTCAAAAAATAATTATATCTAAATTAGAAGGATGGGTATTTATGTCATCTGAAAAAATGATAAAGATACGATGTTATGTTACATTACATCATTCAATTTCAAAGGATGAAACAGTTAAATGATCATTGCAAGCATTCGATGGATCATTTGCCAAAAACAACGAAGATTATTTGGAAGATGGAGACATGTGAAACAAATTCTTACCGTAATGCGTGAAGTTTACCATAGGGGGCTCTATCCCATAGTAGTTATAATCTCGATAAAACTGTTCTTCTGCTGTGTATAAGTTGTTCACGTGATCAGCTCCTGCATTGCAAGTGTTTTTATTTGTAATCTTTAAACATACATGGATATCATGATAATTCTTTGTTAACTTGGAATACAATCTGGAATCAATCTGGAAACAATTGATAAATAACCAAACTCTTTGAAATAGGTAGTTACATAAACAATACTGTATCTCTGTATCTAAAGCAAAGGAAAATTCCAAAAAACAATCATTAAAACCTGTACTAAAATGCTATTATTCTGATTATGTAAATCTTTCTTTTCTAAATCATAAATGATGCAGACTTATACCTGAATATACGAATATTTTTTCAAAACGTTTTTGGAATTTGTTGCAAAATTAGAATCTTTTGCAGAGAAAGATTTATGATAGCTTTCCTCGTAAAATGTATCAAGAAGCGCTTTCGTGCTAAAAAAAAGAAAAAGAAAAAGAAGAAAAACTGAGGAAACTTTTCAAACAAAAATATTCAAGATGTATACAAAGTCGGGCAGTGGTCTAAGAAAATAACTAATTTTATTTTCAAGAAAAACTATAAATCATGAATATGGAAATGTACTTTTGGATATAATAAAACAGTTTTGTTCCAGCATCATTTTTATTACTGATTAAAAACTATAGAAACTATAAAATTACAGAGAATAAAATCATTGTTATCCTAGAATCCTACATTTGGTTTTGTTGTTGTTGTTGTTGTTGTTGTTGTTATTACTGTATTGTCTATACCTACTTGTCATTTAATCAATGAAAAAATATGATAGCAATTATGATAACCGTTATTGCAACAAAAATATCAATGAATAAAGTTAAGTTTCGGGGATTTTTTAATTATTTGAATATATATTCACCATTAACATTTCCGGACATCCAGGAGAGATTTTCTCCATATTTCTGAGACGCCTTGGGTCTATGTCCAAACTTTGAATTATCATTCAGATAGTTTGCCCATTGTTGAGCAAACCTTGAGATCTTCTTATTCCCCCTGACTTTTCCTACCTGCAATAAAAAAAAAAGAATATATATATATATATATATATATATATATATATATATAATATATATATATATATATATATATATATATATATATATATTTCTGATCCAAAGATCATTGATTCCAATACATTGATACAGCTTAGGCCGGTGAAAGAATAAAATATTATTTTTGATAAAGAGACATAATAATATGGAGTTTGCGATTTTCAATTATTTGGTTTTTATTGCCTTCGAAGGATAATCCTTTTTTATCTTGTTTTATGCTTAAGTGCATGCTTTTCTTAAGCAGAAGTGTAAATTTTATTTATTGTTTATATTTCGTTAAAAAGATTGATTGTATTTATACAATATCTATACAGGAAATATATCCTATAAGAAAGTTATATTTTAACTTTGACAATGAAATGATAATATACAATTACTATGGAGCTGAAATTAAACACGAAAAAAGAGGTAAACGTAAATAAAAAATGCAAAGTTATAACAGATGAAAACCATAAAATATATAACAGAGAGTATTTCAAATGAAAAATAGTTAGAAACATCATATAACATTATTTTGTTAATGTTTCTTTTTAAGTTAGATTAATTTAAATTTGTATAACACATATTGAGGTAAATGTCTTGAAGCATGTGATACAGTTAATTGCTTTATGAAAATGTCATAAAAACATAGCTTGCCAGATGTGTGCACGTTATAACGCATTGAGATTTCATTTTCGTTTAAAGCCTCGGAGCTAAAAAAAGATAATTAAACTTTTAGATATCAGTTGAAATGGGCAAGTAAGAAGAAACAGGCGCCTGAGGTGATAAATTCTATCGATAACTAATCACACTTACTACAATAACATTGTTTTATATAAAATGACAATGTGTCGATATTCATTAAACTTCAAAGTTTAAATAGTTTATCCACGTCTCATCACACTTAACATCAAAATAATGATATAACTGATAAAATATCTATGTCATGAAATACACAATTATATGAGACAAGTAAGCAAAGCTTACAGAGATAAATAGATCTACATTAAAAATCATATCAACATTTGTACAATATAAACTGTGCTTTAAATGTATAGGGCATGCTGTGAATCTATCATATTAAGAGCTTACATATTACTACTGATGTATCCTAAGCAAGACAATATGCAACTGTTAATTGGCCTGATGTTTTATTTTAATTGAAATCTACAGTAGAAACAAGTATGAAATACACTTTAAACATTTTAAAAACAATATTTCAAATCACCATGTTAGACACGGCATTGTTGACCTTTATCTTTTCTTTTTAATTATCTAAAAACGATTACAACTTAATAAAAGTATTAATAGATAAGTACGGATTGTAAAGCTTAATAAGAGTATTATTATAATTATATAATTATGCTGTAAGTATATAATGTACCGTGAGCTATGTTTGGTAAAAAACTTGACACTGTTTTATAGCACCAGTACATAAAAATGCAATTAACTATCAAATGTAATTTCACAAGTCAATGAAATACCATGTGTTCAGTGACACTTTCATGACTTTAACGCCAAACCTGCAATTCTCACAACTACTGTACTTATAATATATGTTATTATGAAATTCTGAGGACAAATATTTTTCTTCCTATGTTTCAAAATGTATTTATTGACAGAATGACATGACCACCATTTCTATATCACACCACATTTTATCATTTAAATGTTGTTTTATAAATAAATTTGTTATAAACTAATTTCTTACTTGTTTACATGTTATTACAAATCGTATGTTTAGTAATAAAAGACACGTTATGTTCAACTTGCACAACAAAAATTGGAAGAATTCGTGATTGCAATTTTTCTGTTGAAGGATATGAATTGTAAGACTTTGAAAATTTTGAGAAAATAGTATTGTCATACCCCATGCATTGTACGTATCTGATTGTGCCGCTTTACAACTTGCTTTAGAAACTTTTTGTTCACCTGAAAAAATCAATTATTTGATAGGTAGAAGTCTTTTGTTGATTAAGTATTAACATAATAAGATATATTTCATTTATTGTAGTGAATTTATCTGTTTATATAAATATGTTAACACTTACATACATATCATTGGATTATTTTAGAGTTTTGATATATGTTTATATCTAGCTAATGTTAAGTGGTTTTTCATTTTCAGTTACCTCGTAAACAGAAGTGTAAAAATAAAGATTTTACTTAAAAATACATTATGCTGGATATATGTATAATTGTTGAACAGTCCCTTTTTAAATGTCGAAGTAACATCTTTTGAGAATACACACAGAAGATATGTTATGTTTTAAATTCTAAACACTATAGGTAAACACAGAATGATTGCGTAGTGTCTTAAAAAACAAACAAAAAAAAACACAAACTTTTTTATAAGAAAGGACCGAATTGTCTTGACCATCAATAGGAAAGCAGTTTTTAAAACAAAAATTTATATTTTTCCTTTTTTAACTAACAAACAATAAGATTTTTCAAAAAATATTTCTCCCAATAACATGTGAGTAAAAGTTTCATATACACGTTTTCCCCGGACGATCGTTTTAAATTTGCTTTCATTTTTTTTTTTAATTATTGTCATGTTTTATCTGCCAAATTTTTCAAAAAACATAAGTATAAAATTTTTTACTTTAATTTTTGCAAAAAATGCAAATGTTAGTACAACTGCTAAGAGGCACAGAAGCATCAAATGTCGCATCGCCATCTTATTTCTTCAAATCTTCTCTTTTATGCTATGTCTGAAATAGTTTTAATTCAAATAGAAGGTGTCTAGAGATGTTGACATTATTGCATATTTTAAACATAATGTTTTAGAAAAGAAATAACCAGATTTGTCTAATTTAATTTAAATGATTTTATAATGGCACTAAAGATAAGCTGGTTGAAAAGAATGATTAGCGATGCCTGTTGGAAAAAACATTATTATAAATGAATTTGATATGCAAACATTATTTTACTGATTATTACGTAGATAAAATTGCAAAAAACACTTCAAACGTTTTTCGGAAAGACACTTTTAATTCTTTATCTACATATATAGATAAGTATCCTATAAATAACGAATCCTTCGAAGATCTACCATTGTTTTACAACAATAAATTGCTAATTGGCAATAAAAGTATATTTCTTAATTCATGGTTTAATTCCGGTGTATATTATATCGGAGATATGTTTGATTCTTACATTACAAGATTTAAATAACATATTCAGGCTTTATGCAAACTTTTAAATCTTTCATGGAATTAAAAAAAAAAAGATAAATGAAATGATGACAAAATTCAATTTTAGTATGAATGACGTAAAAAATTTTGTGGACCAAAATTGCCTCCTTATTTAAAAAACATAATTATAAACAAAGAGGGATCAAAACAGACTTACAATTTATTGAATACTAATAAAACACAACCAACAAGTAAAGCAACCTGATCAACATTTTGAAGAAAGTAAATGGAAAGAAATATACGAAATGCCATTTAAATAACAAAAGATTCTAGGATACAGTGGTTTCAAATTAGGATTCTTCATAGAATAATTGGCACTAACTATTATTTACATAAAATTAAATATAATGATAATCCTCTTTGTACCTTTTGTAAAAATGAAAACGAAACTATCGAACATTTGTTTTGGCAATGTAGTTTTGTAAAGGATATCATTGATATCTATTTCAAAAAAAAAAAAAATATTTCCATCATTAACTGCAGAAGAAATGATTTTTGGCTTTACATATAAAAGTCCTTTATCAAAAACTAAAAATCTAATTTTAATTTACTTTAAGCTGTATATTTATCAATGTAAAATGCAAAAGACTATTCCCTCAGTTGTAGGAGCTAAATTTTTTATAACATATTGTAACAACATTGAAAAAGATAAATAACAACGTTAAAACCTTTATTATTTCCGCATGGAATTCTTATCTCATTTTCCTTAATGCAGATTAACACAATATTATTATTATTATTCGCCCTATGTATTTTACTCTGTATTGACCTATCCAAAATCTACACGTCAAACTATTATATTTTTACCCCGCTTAAAATGACTAGACTGAAAAGATTATAAGATATGACCAATAACAATATTAAAAGCGCAGACTACAGTAAGAGAGTGCAGATGAATGAGTGTAGCATATAATTTTTTTTCTTTTATGATATGTTCTGCTTTATACTTTGAAAACTTTAATAGCTGTATGAAATATATTTGTTAAAAAAAAGATAAAAGAAAAAAAAAGAAATAACTATATATGATATATTTTTGTATTGAAAGAATATTCATATATATATAATTAAAATTAAAATTAATGCTAAGTAAAAAATATAGTTTTGTGAATGAAACAATTATTTGAATCCTTTATTATTGTTTTTTTTTAAATTATTTAGCAGTACAGAATAACAGTAAGAGTTATACAATAAATGATAAACGCTGCAAAATAATAGTTAAATTTGTATTTTTACTTTTAGTTCGAAATTGTGTATCAACATAAATAAATTCTGTATGGCCAAACAATTGGGAATATTTACAATATAAAAATAAAATACATTGAACAATATGAGACTGGTGGTATTCATGTACATTTATAAGACGTTTTATAACTTCATATAAACAACAAAACTGTACTCTAACAAACCGACAAAGTACGTTACTTACTTTAAGCACAAAATAAGAAAAAATACTTACATAAATATTATGTCTGGTTGGTCCTGAAGTTTCGTTACAAATGTATATAATGTCTACAGCTGAACTGTAAATAGATAAAGTTCAAACATACGCCAAAATTGTTTTCACTTACAATAATTATTTAATATAGCTCTTAGCTATATAATGTAATTATAGTATGTCCCACCAAATTTGAATATTCCATTTTTTATTAAATATAATACATGTAGTAAAATAATTAAAATTAATGTCCTGTTAACCCTGACGTCAATATCTCCAGGCATGTTTTTCATAAAATCAGTCAAAATGTTAGAATCATATTTTTTCCCGTTGATTTAAGTTGTACGTGACGTCCATTTCAAAATAGCGGCGCCCATACACCGTCATTTAGGGTTCGTCTCACAAATAGCGTGAAATGTACTCGGTAATTATAAATATATATATATTCAAAACTAATATGCCTCCCTTTGGGGTATGAACAACGTCTTGCAAAGTAATGCTGCTGTGCAAAAACGTTTTAATTGCTTTGATAGATTGAAAATTATATTTTCACCATCTGAATTACATATTAAAATCATACACGCACTGCGCTTGTCTTGCTCACAACGCAGTTATGGTGCTCACAACGAGGATTAAAGCAAAAAAGGGTATATCTTCGTTTCTATGAAGACTTTCAGGTAATAATTTACGCTGAAGACTTGTGGGCATCTGTTTTAGGTTAGAATGCACAAAACTGCACCAGAATCGACGTTTTCAATGTTAAATTTGGTCCGGAGAGAAGTTGTCTCCAGTTTTCCAGCTACCCCGAGTGACTGCGTCGCACGGTATTTCCATCAAATTGTCCACCAACAGGCAATATCTTTATATGTGCATACTCGGAAAACACATCGCTAGCTAACTGCATTCCGATATTTTAACATAAATGTCTGTAACCTTAAAAAATTAAGAAAAACTCACCTTGTTTATCGTGTCACACGTCCTAGATGGGTGCTCACAACGAGGAACGGAAGTTGCTTACAACATTTTTACCGATGGACATTTTACACTCGTTGTGAGTTAAACAGGCGTGTATGAGGTTACCCTCTGTCAATGCCACAACTGGAATCATCAATAAAAAGAGCGAGGCATTTTTGTTACATCATATATTTCGTAAATAACTGTTATTTACCCCTAATGATGTATCATGTATGTCTTTGTTGTTTCATACTGTTATGGTGACACTTTTGCTAGTGTCCCTTGTTGCTTTCTCGTCTACGGTAAGTATCTCTCCCTTTGCCCCTAAGTTTCTATTTCTTTGATTTATCACCCCCCTTCCCCCAGTCATCTGTCCCCTTTACTAAAATTATTAAACGTTTTATTAATAAGAGATTAATACACGGCAGAGTAGGGCCGGAAGGTGATAATCGGCCCGCAAAATCAATAATGGACCCGAGGGCTTAAGCCCGAGGGCCATTATTCATTCAGGGCCGATTTTCACCTCCCGGCCCTACTCTGACGTGTATTAATGTCTTTAATACACTTGGTAGATCTAATAGAAGTATTTTAAAAAAAAATACAACAACAAAGTTCTTTCGTTGACATTCTTGTCTACTCTTCTACTGTTCTGTACAGAGATGTTTACTGTTTGTGTGTTCAAGCAGTATTAGTAGAATCTAGAATCAAGTTTTTTTTTCATTTTTTTCGGAATGAATTTGTCGTATTATTTCATCAAATTTCAATAGTAACAAAAATGTGTTTGTACTAAATACGCTTAAGCTCTCATAATAAGAATAAAGCAATTCGTGCTGAGAACCTACTTTCACTTTTACAGTTAACTGTTTGATAACGTAAAACATGACGTCATTGTTTCAGTTTGTGCACGTGCGCATGTTCTGCGGGCTGATAACTAGTTCTCGGCCCCGGGCCGCAAACTCATAATAGGTCACGTGACACTCATAATCAGTTGAAACCATAGGCAATTTTGTTACTATATATAGTAACAAGTGTATTAAAAGGGGTTATGGCCCTTCTATTTTAAGACATACCGCATGCTTAGTGTTCAACCTATTTACAGTTGGACGCTACGCTTTTCATCTTTACATCTGACTGACCAAGTGGGAGACTATGATGGACAGTTCTTAAAGCCCTTTGGGACTGAATTGCCTTAATGTTCGTCTTCTGTCTTGCTTCGTCGGGCCCTTGTATGTGATCTTCTTGTTGCTCTGTCTTCCTTTAAGACATTGAGTACTTTTGTTATGGTCATTGGGTTTTCTTTTTTTATGTTTCTACATGAGCATTTCGATGTTTTACTTATTGGCGA